AAGGCTGCCCATTCGGTCACAAACTAAACTAATCATTTGGGCTTTTAGCTCATTTTCAAAGCAGGACGGTGTGGCCGACCACTAAATTAGCATACCTAGAGACAGACAGACAGACAGACAGACAGACTTAGACAGAACTTTATTGATCCCTTGGGAAGACTCCCTCAGGAAATTAAGGTAGAGGTAGTATCTAGTGATAGAGGTAAGTGGTGTTTGTTCAAGGTAAAATAACTATTTATTGTGTATTGGCCATTAATCAAAATCTATTGGTGAAGACACATTTAGGATGATACAAATAAAAACCAAGCTAACGTGGAAATAAAGAAATAGAAACACTTTTTGTCAAATGGAGAATTGCCATGAGAAAAAGATAAAACACTAAAAAGTATCTTCAATTAAATGGGTTCACTATATATTTTTTTCATTCAAAATGCTTTGTAATATATAATACGACTAAATATAATGGAAAGGTTTACTTTCCATGAGACTTCATGGACTCCTTGCTGCTGAATTAGGGCTCAATCTGTTTATTTTTTCATTGCAGACTACATGACACTTCCAATTCAATCAAATTGGGATGGGGGGGACACATAGCACCGATGCTTAGTTTATCAGCACTCTGTCCAACAAGAAAGAGGTCCACTTGTCCACAAAAAAAGAAAAAAGAATAAAAAAAAATCAAACTGTGACCTGAGTTGGCATCAGGGAAAAAGGCGAAAAATGCAAAGAGAGGAAAAAAGAGAAAGGATATGGCTCCGGAACAATAGAGGGACAGAGTCCAAATAGGGAAGTTTCGACTGTAAGACGCCGTGTGCCAGGGCCAAGTCACAGACAAACACACAAAAGGCACATACAACATGACACATGCCCCAAAATCACATCGACGTGGCCTGTGGAGCTGCAGGACACTGAATAATCTTCCAAACATATTCTAAAGCCCTTGTCAGACCAACTCGATCAATTATTTAATCGCTTGGAGGTTCTGATTCTTAGGGTTGAGGGTTTTCAGAGCAATAGGATGGAGCTCATCTCCTAATTACCAATGTAGATGACAACATTTCTTAGAGTGGAGCCTCTATATGGAGAGTCCAGTTATTCATTCATATTTACTTTTTCCGACATAAAAACAAGCAATCTGATAATCCTCATTTAAATCCAAAGAAAGTCTTAGAATAATGGTTTCGTCAGCCATATTGGCTACAACAGTAAGTTTACTAAAAGATCTCAGACTTCAAATGTAAAGCATTCATTGGTTCCTTTAAGAGACCCCTCCACACACACACACTTTTGGCTATTATAGTAATGAATCATTTTAGCCACAGCTGAGATTTCTGGCCTCTTGTTTTTGTTTTTTCCGTGGAAGGCCGAGACCAGACAAGACATCTGGTCCCAGATTAGACGTATGTGTGTGTGTGTATGTGTGTGTGTTTAAGACAACCTTAAGACTTCGGTGGCCTGGAACACCGAGGGGTTCCAGACTCGGCCAATTAAGGCTGCTAAACTTTAACTCCGCGCTTAAGTTTTTTTTACTTACTGCATGAACCCATGAACTGCACACATGGCACATGAACCTGTGAAGAGCAACAGCCAAGTGCACCGAAAAGGATAAGAACTGGGAAAACGTTTGAATCTTTACTATTCATTTGCATTTATGATTTTTTTCCCCCTTAATCATTTTTAATAGATTCCCATACTGTGGAATGACAGTCCAGCTTGGATAAAAGGGACACAGATCCAGTCAGTGTTGCCCAAATATTCCTTTAACAGAAAAAACTCCAGATCAGACTGTACCATTCCCCAGACTAAAATATCCAGCTGGGAAAATTGTCCAGGTCACTTGCTAAATCCAGCCATTAGCTTTGACGACTGGAGTTTCTGACACAAAGAAGTGCTGCTTGAGGATCAAAGTGGCGAAGATCTGCTCCCATTAGACTCCCTCAGTGAGTTACACAAGGTGTCCGGTTTGCAGGTGACTGTCCGGTCCAACAGATCTATTCATGCACTCATAAAATAAAACAAAAACAAAAACATCCCCCTCCAAAGTGGATGATTTAATGAGTTCTACTTACTCAGTCTTAATCTGAGCCCGAGCCAGCTCCTCGGAGGCGATTTGTGCAGAACGGAGTTCATGGTCCACTTGTTTGGCACCATCTGCACGCAATTCTGCCTGGAAAAAAAAAAAAAACAAACTGCACCAGAACCAGCTCTTTGCAGGTCGGTCTGTCAGCGTGCCGGGCTCGGGGCGACGATCAGCCCCATGAAAAATTGCGTTGCGAGGCGCGTTTTTTTTCAGCTCCGTGCCATTGTCATCCGTCTGGGTTCCCGGCGCGGAGGCTAAAAATGAGGGTCGGAGGGGAGCACAAAGCCGCAGCTCATTTCACAGTGAACGCAGGGCAAAGAAAAGGGCAAAAAAAAGGCATCTCCAGACGGAAAGTTTAGGGCGATTTGGCGTGCGCTTTTTACGCAGCGCTCAGCGGGTAAACGACCTGTTGCTGTTGTCTGCACGCATGCATGAAGTAATCTCGACGTCCACAGGGGAGTGGAGAAAAAAAAATCCTCTACTGGTGGATCTCGGTCGGTGCGAGAATGGGGGATTACGAGTTACAGACGACAGCCCCTCTTCCCTTTAAAGCCCTACCTCTGTGGATGGATTTCTGTTTTGTTTTTTTTCTCGCCAACTTTACGCAACGCGAGGCTGCACCCGGATTCTGACTTTTCCGCCGCCGTTTTTTCTCTCCACCTTCTGTGATCGACCACCTCCATTCATTCACACAAACTAGATCCACAAAAGGCTCTCTGCAGTTTCTCTCCTCTAGTGGCTGCTAGAGGCGCCAGAGATCCCAAACAACATGTCCAATTCCAAAAGTGCGCACAGACCAGAGCAGGTCCGTTCACTTCCTGCTGATTTTATCCACGGAATAATTCAATATTTTTGCAGAGGCTTGATTTGTCTGTGCTGAGAAGACAGAAAACATGTTTGCAACATTTGAAGTGTCACATTGTTGAGATCTTAGTATTGAAATAGTAACCAAACAGTCTGAACACGAGGATCCAAAGCCACAATATTGAGATTATAAATTAGAATTTACCCAGGAAGCATTTGTTTGTAAAGAGTCCATTTGGGTAGACTGGAAAAAATAATCCATAGTGTCTCCATCTTAACTGCTTTTGTGATTTTTAAGGGAGGTAAACCCAGGTTCGTGGGCCCTTTCTTTTAGTTCTGCGTGGACAGATTTGAGGGTTTATGTTTGCAGGAACGTAGAATTCATTTAAGACGTAATGTGGATAGGTTCCATGATGGATCCAGATTATCTGCCAAAAAACAAAAACAGATACTGGGATTTCAGAATGTTCAATATTTTACTTCAGCATAAGAGGATTGAGGGGTCTGAAACATCATTGGCTAGTTGATCTGTTGGTAGTTTTCATAAATACACGTATAACAAAATAGCTCAAAAGAAACTTTGACCAAAAAAGACAAAGCAAGACTCACAAGAGGAGACTTCTGACCTAACCAGGTAGCCATCGATGTCTGTGTACTGTGTCCTTAGTACAATATTAGCTTTTTAAATGAATACATGATTACAATGTATGCTAATAGTTATGGATTCCTGGACCTGCTAAAAGACTAGAGTCACCGATGTATTCTTTATTAAGACTCGTGTGTTTTCAGAATCGAACCATCCATTATCATTACCACTTATTCCCTGATGGGGTCGTGGGGAGAACTGGAGCCTTTCCCAGTGGTCAACAGGCGAGAGGCAGGGTCACCCTGGACAGTCCATCACAGGGCCATCAGAATCGAACCAATATCAGAATATGAAGTTACCACATAAAACATTTTTAAATATCTTTGAATTCTCTTGAGACATTTTCAGAGTGGAAAAAAGAACCGGTTTAAACATTTTCATCTAAGTTATGGAGTCCAGATTAACGTTTTAATATGAATAACTATACAACTTATTTTAAGCTTTGTACATATCAATAGGTTGGAAGTGCTGTTTTCTGTGTATGAGGTTGATCATTTGAAGTCTCATAAAGGTTGTAGATTTTTTTAAAAATAATTAATCTGGTCACTACAAGACTCCCCATCAAACTGAGTCTCAGCCCAGGTTATTAATTTTTTGTTGATGACGTTTGAAGCTTCAATTAAAACAAAAACTACCACAAATGATAACAATGTAAACTGAGGAAACAGTATTTAGATGAAAGTTGGCCCTGGATTTTTTCTCTCCTTTACTGTTTATCATCAAATATTCTTCTAATTAAGAGCAACATTTCAGAAAACAGTGAAAAGATTATGGTTTTCAAGTTATAGTTTTAAACTACCTTATGTTTGAATCCCCTTAACTCACGTTAGAGAAAGTGAAATGCAGCATAGAAAGGGATTTCAGTTTGGCTTTGCATGAGGTCTCTGAGGAAAACATCTGACCCGACAAAGCCAAAACAAAGGCTCTGCCAAGACGCATCTGTGTTGCTTTCTGGCTCTCAGCCTCAATAAAGGAGCGGGGGGGTTTGAACAAAGCCAGAGGCGGGGGGGCAGAGAGGGGATGTTTAATTGCTCCACTCTGATTTGCAGCCCGTGATTGCAGTTGGTCCCAATTTGCCTCCGACGCCACCGTGAATCGTGGTGGTTAATTACCCATACGCTGACAGTTTTTATTGCAACTCCCCCCTGAGACACTTTCCCAATTAACATCCTCCCCTTGTTGCTTACAGCAGAGGCCATATTGCATGTCTACTGCCCTCTTGAGGAGAAAATAACAGCTATAAATGGCAAACCTGTCACAAATGTATATTTTTTTCTTGTATCTTACACAGATCGGCCTAAGAAATGGTAAAGATCAGTGAAAATGTTCTGTTTGAAAGCAGAAATGACCGTAGATCCAAGCTCAATAGTGAATGTGTATATGACTAATAAGTAACAGTTCTAACAATCACTAGAAGCATGTGTGATTTAAAAAGGAACAAGCACAAAGTTTGAAGCAAAGTTTTTTTTTTTTTTTCGGTTTAATATCTGGCAGGTTTTTACTCATTGAATGTAACCAGCAAAGAGGAGACATCAAACAAGAGCTTCAAACACAACATTACGTATTCTATCGTTGTCCGTGTGTACGTACAGAAACTTTAAACGCCTCCTGTGCGCCGCCAAATGTTTTTACGGGAGCGGGTTCGAGGACGTGAGAGCGCCAAAGGCCTGTCGAAAAGCGAATTCCCGGATGGAGAGTCCGACTCATTTTCCTTGTGCGCGTTCACAGTTTTCTGCCGACCGGTTTGGTGTACGACAAGGCGAAAGAATTCAACTAAAAAAAAAAAAGCGGAAATGTCACTGCGTTCCGATTTGACCTGGTCTCATCAGTCCTTTGAAGACTCTCAGCTTTCCTGCGCCGGTCAGATCAAAGCTGTAGTCTGTCGTCACGTAGGGCGCCTCCCCTTCAAACCCAGCCTGGAAAACACAAAATAAAAACACTTTAAGTCCGAATAACGATGGATATGGATGTGACGGTTTTGTAGCGGACTTAGACGGCCCTCGGACCTGCGTTGTGAGAATGCACGACGGCAACGAAATGGCCCCCAAAAGGAGGCAGTTGACCTTTCGTAGGATGGAGGGATCAACAGGGGTCAGCAGGAAGTACAGACCCCGGGCCATATCAATACCCCGAAGAACACCTGAAACATACCACAAGGTAACACGTTCAATTCTGGCAATGATGGAAACCTCACATTAAATAAAAACATATTGTCATCTGATTTAAATTCAATAAAAAAACAAAAAAACAAACAAACATGGATCATGACTTGGGGCTTAAAGGTGCAACATGAAGGGACTCACTGACATCTAGTGGTAAAAAAGCAACGGCAACTCAATAATGCGTTCCTCTAAATCCAAACCAAATGACAAATAGCTTCAAACCTATTGAAACATTATTTCAAAATACAATACATTATATTCATACACATATTTGTTTGTTTGAGTGCAAGAACTTGTTAAAACTTTGGTGAAAACTGCAAAAATGTTTAAGAATAAGAACTGAGAGGTACTTTATTGTACGATAAATAACTGTCTTTGCTAATGGAAAGCCAAAGCCTTTTTTTTTTTAAATATCAGCCAAATTGTGGTATCACTTTAGTTCTGAAAAAGGCAATCAGCTTTTGAAATGACAATTTTTATAATCTTTTTAAGCAGGTTTTTCACTCCTGCTTATGACCCATTTTACAACCTGTTAAGAGGATTTAACAAATTTTACTGTAAAATGTCACACCAGCAATACAGCAATGAATGGCTATTAAAAACTGCCAAAAATATATAATATATATAATCCAATGATATATAAATAATACAAAATGTTTAAAGGGTCAAGAGTAAAACTGTTCAAACAAACAAAAGAGATGGCAAAAACTGAAAGACCTACCGAAGCCCACGCAGGGGCAGATGGGGGCCTGTGACAGCAGGACGGGGCCTCCTTTGCTGGTCACTTTCTCTGCCAGGCAGCAGAGCCCCACCAGGCTGCCGTTGGCCGCGTAGAACATGTGAGCGGGCACGACCTCGCAGTGGATCACGCCCAACGCTACGGCACCATGAGGCACCTGTGGGCTCAGAAACGGATCTATCAACATTGGTTTACAGCAGGTTCCTGTAACAAATACTGCTCCACGTACTGGAATTCTGTTCCACAATGTGAGCACATGTTTGTTTTGTGTGTACCTGGTATGGGGTGAGACTGTTCAGATGCCTGACCGGTCCCGGATCGGGAGACTGAAGCTGACTCAGGTAGGCCAGCAGCGACAGCTCTCGCTGTTCGTTTGAGCGCTGGTGCTTCCTGTCAGATAACATGAAAACATTGGTTTGGAATCGCTGGGGGTCAAGCTTTTCTGTTAAAGCCACCTCCAGACTTTAACAGAGACTTACGCTGGGAGACTTACGCTGTTCCTTGCCGGCCCACACCCTGAAAGTCTGCCTGCACGGTGAGGTGGGAGTAGCTTCTCGGGGGGCAGTGGCTCTCGGTGAACTCGTCCAGGGCCGTCTGGGCGGGCGGGTGCGTCTGGCAGCCCTGCGCCGTCCGCAGGAACTCGGGCGTGAGCGCCGGACACTGGTTGGCGCTGCCGTGGCTGAGCTGGACCACGTGCGACACGGGGAGGGAGCGGATCATGTCCACCAGCAGCTGGAGTCCGAATCCTGCGGGGCAGCGGGGATGGGGGCATTTCTCAGCGTTCCCTTTTAGGTCTCGGCACGGTTTCGGCATTGCGACGGGAAAAAAAGCGGCTGAGCTGACCTTTGACCCAGCCCATGGTGTTGATGATGACGGGCGTCTCTCTGCTCTGGGGCCGGCGACGCCACAGGGATTTCAGAGACTCCAGGTAACGGTCCAAGTCCGACTCGCACGATGACTGACCGTAGAAGACCATGTGCTCGGGTGTGCGCTGGTGCGTGAACGGAGGACCTGAAAACACAACAAGGGGGAAAATCTACTGATCCCTCTTTACCCAAACCATGCAGGATGTCAATCTCTGGTACTTGATTTCCTCTATCCTGCAGCTTTCAGATGTTTCACAGCTTTAAAACACCTGACTCAGTTATGTGCAGAACTAAATCTTAATGTTAAACAAGAGAAATCTCTAAAACTTGCACAACAGCAGCCATTTTAGGACCAGAGGTCCTTGGTTAAAGTCTTATAGCACCACTTTTTAACACTTATGTCAATTAATGTGCTTAAATGCATTGTTTACATTTACTCAAAACAACAACATGAAGTAAGAAATTGGACATAGAGTCCATCAACGGACCGTCGTCTTGCAGAGCCTACACAGCGTGTAAGACAATCCAGACTATTTATATGTCGCTCCACGATGTTGGAATGACCTACCAAACGCTACTACAACGTCCCTGCCTATCTTCAAGAAACTGTCACATGTGTTGCTATTTATTTTCTGCTATATAGCTTATTGTCCGGTTGATGCTAACTTTTATGTTGTATCTGCCTTGTAAGTCTCTTTGGATAAAAGCTAAAAGTGCTAAATGCACGAACATAACATAACAAAAAACTAGCAAAAACTTACCAAGAAGGGGTTCACTGACGGTGAGCAAAGACAGACAGCCAGCAGGGGTGAATTCTGTTTGACCAAGGTCCCCTTCCAAATAGTCCACACTAGCAGTACTGCCAAACACATCAAATCAGATCAATGATTACATAAAGATCACAGTATACCATTGTTTTTTTTTTTATGAAAAGCAACTGAAAAAAGCTTTACTATATATAGAGATACAGAAGACCAGAAAGAAGCAAAGAAGAGGTAAGCATCAGTCACAGGACTTAAGTCTCTTTAACCGTTGTACTGAAACCATTTCATCACTTTTAATGGCAGCAAATAGTCACATCTGCTGTCCTCCCAGCCTAATACTTAATTTTTTTATAAAGCACAAATTATAAAATAATCAAATAGTTAAGTGATCGGCATAGTAAACCCTGGTTTACATTAAATGATGCCTAATTTTGAGTAAAGACAGCAGGAAATACTAAAGGCATATATGTGGTTGTATAATCACTGATAGGTATATTTAGTCAGCAAACAGGGTATGGTATGAAACTATTCATATCATTTTGGGGCAGTGATTTTGAAGACATTTTAACTTTTGGTGAAAATGATGAAATTGAGAGGAGAGGTGAGAAGATTCATGAGAAGATTTCTATAAAAAAAACATCAAAATAAACTAAAGAAAACATTTCATCTTGACAGATGAAGGCAGTGTCTCACAAATAGAACTTACTGATTCAGTAAAGTGTTGATGAGGAAGCGGATAAATGTCGACTTGCCCACGTTCTTAATCCCGCACACGAGGATAACAGCAGAGCCCTCGATGTCTCCTGTCAGAGAAAAAAATCTCCAGGTGAGAGTTACACCTCAGTGTGGTGTGTTTGAGTACATTGTTGTGCTTGTTGTTAGTAACATATCTACAGTGAAATTAAAGCCAAACTGGAAAATAATTAATACATTTTTTAAAATCCTGACTGGTAAAGGTGTGTAAATGTTGGTCTGGGTCTGACCAGGATTCTGATAACAGAATCGGCATCTTATGTCTTTTTCATTTCCAACTAGAATAGAGGATTAATAGGCAAAACATGGGTAAGGGCACAAATAGTGTGTCATTCTCTGATCATTTTCAAAGGATGACTATAGTACTACAACTACTACTAATAATCAATTTAGACAGAAATACCTTCATAAAAGCATAACAGACATTTATTTAGAGATCAATCAGAATATATCTGCATTCCTTTTGAGTTTTATCAACCAAATAATGTACATATCAAATGTGACATGTTTACAGCAGACAACACAGAGCCACAATTAGATAAAGAAAAATAATGGCAACTTTAGCAATGAATTGAACTTTATCAAATTGTAAATAACAACATAATAATATAAAAGGTTTGTACAATTTTGCTGCCATTCTTTATGTGAATGAGTTTTCTGGAGATGAAGTTATTCAGACATGGTGGTGTGTTTGTATTTTGGTTTTGTTTTATTGGCCCTTATCTAAAGTGGCACAACAGGATTGGGGAAAGAGACAGGCCCAAATTTTGAAATCATACCTATGCTGCCTGCACAGGAGCACCAAGCGTCCCCACGTTCCGTTTACTAAACCCATCCTCTACAATCAAGTCAATATGCGTGCTCACCTTTGCATGCGTTGACTACTGTGTTGAGGGCATCCCTGTAGCTCCTGGAGGTTTTTAGACCCTCAATGGTGCTGGCCAGCGGAATCATGCCCAAACCGTTCAGTGGAGTGTCAAGAACAGCTGACATGAGTTCACTCTGCAAACAAGCAATAAGGAAGTGCTGAAATTCGACCCCTAAATTCCCATAACATTCATTTAAATACAACTAATTAAAGTTACAACAAATAAAGATATATTCTTCTTAAATGGTCGGACATCATAGATTTGATTAATATCTTGATCTGTGCAAACATTAGCCATCTTACCACAGGGGGACTAAAGAGTTCACTCCGATCTGCAAAGCTAGACATAAAGCGTGTCAGAGATGTCTCCATTGGTTCAAGTAGGATGACGGACGACACCGAAGTTATCTGCTTTAGCAACTTCTTCCGTGATGCTGCAAAACAAATAACAAAATCTCACAAAAAAAAAATCATTCTGAGAGTAGATTACCACTTGTTTTCAGCAAAACATGTTAGTCCCAATACCTGAAAAAGTCCTCTGGTTTCAAATGTGTGTATAAAAGGTGAGCTGCTTACCTGATGAAAGATACTTTTGAAGGATGTGTGCAGCTTCTGCCCTGTCGTCCCGGCTGTAGTCGGAGGTTTCCAGCGCGGTAACGGTGAGTGGGCAATGTGAGGCTGGCGAGAAGAGTGGGTATGACTTCTGACCCTCTTCAATGGTAAATCCCATCACTTCTACACGTCCATATAAGCAGGTCAAAAAGCACTTCCCTCGGAAACACAGTGTCTGCAAGAAAGTAGTGCAATTATAGAAATGTGAAAATCAAAGAAGGGGTTACTATACATATGTTGATCCTACTAGCGAGGTCTGTAGCATACCTGATCTTTTTGCATGACCAGTACTGCCCGGTTTTGTTTATCATCTCTCTGTGCACAGTGATGGAGAGTCTCTCCTTCCAGTCTACCTGACTGGACATCCTGCGTATAACCCGAGGTCTCCACATGTCCATTTCCATGAAATGAATCGGAATACGCCTTCCACTCCTTCCAATCCTCGGTCCCATCTTCTGATGTAAACGCGGAACTTCCATTGGCCTGAGAGTTTGGTTTATTACATTCGGTCTCAGGAAAGACCACCTTATCCTCAGAAACAGTCTTTGCTTTGCTTTTTAGCCTTTTGACAGAGGGTTTTTTCTTTACAGACACCTGGTGCTCCTTTACGATACTGACAATGACAGGACTGGAGTTGAGATCAGATGGCTTAATGGGAGGTCTGCACCGTCTTCCCTTTACATCCTTCCATTTATGAGATTTGCCTTTTACCTGTGCGGATTTATTCACTTTCATGGTCCTGGAATTTATGAACAGTGATATATAGGTGGTGGAAAAACAATGGGGGGGACCTGCAAAGAGGGAAGCAATGTGTTGGATCAAATGCAGTTTCTGTGGCTTTAGAAGACAGAAGAATAAACGACATACAAATTTAAAAGACATATTTTCAAAATAATTTAACCATAGCTAGCTTAACTTTTGTGACAGGCGACTGTGAAAACTCAAGTTAAACATTAACGCTTCTGTGTACGTGAAGATGAATCACGAATACATTCACCAAACAGAAGAACAAATAAGTAGACGGCAAATGAACCAGGATTTTAAACTTGCGGTTAGTTATTATGGCTAACGTCACATAGCGCAGCCATTGCAATAACTAGCATTAGCTGTTAGCTAATATTATTGAACCCCGAGAGATTAAACTTACCCCCCACTTGGAAAGAAACTCTGCAGAGAGATTCAAAAAGCACCCGTTATGACTACCAGCTGGGGATTTTTTTTACAATTCACTTACATGAATCGGAAGGACTGGACAGTTGTTGCTACAACTCTGCTAAAAGCTAGCTTGCATGTGTGAGCCACACCGACACGGTGTTTGTGGGGTTGGATCATCCGGACGGACGCGCCGATATAATTGGTTGTTAGGCAACAGAACTACACGACGATGTAATGCGCCCTTCAACTGATCCAATCTAGCACTCACCGCTAAATGGTCGACTATAATTTTTCCAGGAGTGTCGTATTTCAATGTACAGAGACAAACTTAACAAAATACTTAGCATTTATGCATACGTCACGTGAGCTTAAATATAAAAAACGTATGTACAAATAATAACTATCAATGGACATTTTTTGATCTAATGTTCTCATTACCGTTTAAAATCAGCAACAAAAACTTTCCCGGAGTTTGACGTAATAATCGTCACATCCTCTTCCTTTTAGCAATTTTGGAGGGGCTGAAAGAAACGAAAACAAGGTAGAGGTTACCACAATTTGCTATTTTATTAAGTTATTTTGATTAAGAGAAGTTAATTACGATTTATTCAGAGACTGAAGTGAACACATTCTGCCGGTGTTGATATGTGGATGCAGCCATTGAGGCGTACTTCACTAAGGGAGCGTCTTTAAAGGTATGTGCAAAGAAATAAACGTTTAGGTGCGTAGTCAGGTAAGGGGTTACAATTGATCTTCAAATGCTGCTGTATCAACTGTCTAAATACTGAGTTAAAAATTGTTAACATTTAGACGGTAAATGTTGTAATTATGCTGCAAACATGAATGCATATGCATTACCATTGCGCTTGCGTGCTCGTCTTATTTTGATCAGTCATTCTGTTCTGGCATAGTTTAATGAAGAAAAAACACCCATAATTCATATCAGGACGTCTTGCCTGGTCCGGGAAAATGGGCTGATACTATTAGTTGTAGTTGTTTGAACCAAAATCTCAAAAAATAGCTAAAATTGTAAACATAGGAAATGAATGGGATCCTGCTAAAGAGGGCGAAAAACTAAACCCACTTTAAAGCACATAACTCAGCCAGGCTTTATTTATTACCTAAAGTTTTAACGAATCAGTAAAGATAAAAATAGATTGATTTTCTAATAAGATTTACAGTTTTGAAACAAAAATAGTTCAAGTTTTATGAAAATACTTGCAAATATTTTTGCCCGCCCCAAGGGCGGTGACGTCACCCACCACTTACCCTCCAAGTTGATCAAAAATAAATTCAAACAAATTTCTCACAAATCCACAAAGTCTCTTGTGCATGGATAATTTATACATGAAAGTGTATGGTTATGTTTTGTCTTCTGTCACCGATGAGACTTTTATTTTGACAGAACTTGGTCACCTGGCCAATCTGCTAACTTTCATAATAAACAAAACCTCCTTTTCTTTTTCAAATCATAAAGGACAAGCTGTCTTTAACTTTGTCCAATTTCAGCATCTTCCACTCATCAAAATAGAAGACAGATTGCTACATTCTCATGTTCTGCTCAGGAGGTAAAAGAGGTAAACTACTGTTAATAATCAGAATCAGAAATACTTTAATAATCCCAGAGGGAAATTATTTTCGTTACACACTCCAGATATACAAAAACAACATACATATATATACAGCATTCCACACAAGAAATATATTGATACATTTATGAATAATAATGTGCAAAAGAATGAATAAATGTCAATAATTTTTACTCTAAATCTATAGATAAATAGAAATACATACATTTGATAAAGCATTATGAGGACTTCCCAGTTGATATGATTGCTATTTCACAACTATTTTAAGCCTATCTTATTATCAAAATAATCATATTTTAACATCACAAGGTACTTTTTGGTTAATTCAGTCTGAGTATCGCTTAAAAAAGAGATTTAAGTGGACTTCATCTTTTCCCTGTAAATTTCCCCACCTATGTCTATGTCAATGTATAATATTTAAAAAAGTTAAGTCTTTTATATCTTTTCAACTTTATTACGAGATAATTTACCTTAAATAACAGCATGGGGTGCCTTTGAAATATTTGACAATGAGTTTATTCTGTGTTTTTGGGGGGCATATTTGGAATTTGCCCAATTTACTGCCAACCTGTTAAATAAAAGTTGAATTATGTTAAAATAACTTTTTTTTTTAAACAATAAGCATCCAAAATAATACTTACATTTTTAAACAAATAATTCGTTTATTCACAACCCCGGTTGAGGCTTTTGAACACTGACTGAAGCCTTTTTATGGTGTGCTCTATAAGAGACTCTCTATCGGAACATGTCCTTTTCTCTCCTGTGTCTGTTTATGCAAACAAGCGGAAAAATGTGGCGGATGATAGACAGCAGTACTGAAAACACCTGTTTGCCGTGTCTCGTGCAGTTGACCTCTGACCTGAGCCCGGAGGTGATGGCGGCCGTGGCAGGCGGCCACGCGCGGCGCGTCCTGTCCTCCCTGAACCAGCAGCGGGCGGCGGGTCGGTTCTGCGATGCGGTTCTGGACGTGGGGGACGGGGCTCCCCGCCTGGCGCACCGCTGCCTCCTGGCCTGCTTCAGCGAGCTGTTCGGACGCTCCGGCGCCGCCCCGGAGCCGGACCTGGACCTCCAGGGCTGCCCGGGCGCCGGCCTGGAGCTGCTGCTGAACTTCGTCTACACCGGCGAGCTCAAGCTGGACGCCGACAACCTGGACACGGTGCAGAGGGCCGCGTCCAGCCTGCGCGTGCCCGAAGCCCTGGCCCTCTGTCAGCGGTTCAGGGACAAGTCCGCGCCGCCTCTGGTTTCCAAGGGGAAAAGAGGCAGGCCCAGGAAGTGCGCGTCGGACGAAAAGGTCAGAAAACTCTCTCTGTGAGAGCCACTAACATCTGGAACAGTCTTCCTCTGCACCTACACTGATCAGCTTTAGAGCTCCACTCAAACTATGGATGAAAACAAACCAGTCATGTGACCACTAAACTCTTAACATTTCCTTGTTATGCTTATATTGTTTATTACAGTGTTTTTCAACCTTTTTTGAGCCAAGGTACATTTTTTCATTGAAAAAATCACAAGGAACACCACCAACCAAAAATGTCAAACAAATCTGTAGCCGCCTATAGTAACACTATAGTTATTCTTATTTTATTCTTATCTTAAGTGTCTTGAATAGGAATCAAATAAACACAAAAATGTATTTTTATCATATATTTCTTCTTTCAAATTGCTCTTAACATGTCCACTTCAATATGCAAAATTATATACAAAATCTAGTCATAAGGAATTATTACATGATTACGCCACCAGTCACTAGAACAGCACAGACACTCAAAAATTATTTGCAGATAATTAATTCCTTATCAAAAATCTTTTTAGACCAATTAGGTGAAATAGGATGATTTTCTACCTGCACTCGCGGCACACTAGTGTACCGAGGCACAGTGGTTGAAAAACACTGGTTTATTATATGTTCTTTCTTATGTATTTGCCTGCCTAGGGACTACGGATGAAAACTAGCTTTGTAGCTATAATCCGGCATATTTACATTTGTTTTTATACTGATGTTCATTAATGTGCTTTGTCCCTATTCAAATAAATAAATAAATAAAAGCCTCTCAAAGAGGAGAGCTCGGCTCCGGCCGCGGAGGATGAGTCCGGCCTCGACGCCGTTGCCACGACGACGCGCTCCGGCCGGGTGGTGAAGGGCCCCAGGCGGCTGCTGGCGGCGGACGGAAGCCCCGCCACTAACGGCAAAAGAGCCCCGCTTACCAAAGCCGCTGAAGACGGTTTAAACCCAGATCGGCCAGCCGCCGAAACCGAGGTAAAACTACACAAAAAAAGAGTGCTTGACAGTGTTTTAGTGGACAAACGAAATAGAAAATGACCTCATCCATCCATTTTCTCGCCACTCAGAATTTATGATATAAAATAAGAATAAATCAAATTGATAAATGTATCACTTAAAAGGACTTATAGCTGCTGGAGCAAAGGACCTCCTGAACCTCTCAGTCCTGCAGTGCAGTGAGATAAGCCTCTCACTTTTGCCCTGCCAAGATGTGGAGGATGGGGGTTAATATTCTCCAAGACAGAGTAGAACTTCCTCTTCATCTACTGCTCCACCAGAGCTAGTAAAATGTCCACCCCCTACTTTTAAACAGTATCTTATGTACCAGTCCCCCTGCAGACAATAACATAGTTTATTATCCAGCACCACCCCCAGTTATTTGTAGGTCTTTATTTAGAGTCTCTTCTCTCCTCTCCAATAATGCAGACTAACTGGAACAGTGTTTAAGATCTCCACAACCAACACAACCCTTTGGTAGGAACAAATGTACATATATGCATATACACGGTTAACGTTGGTTCACTACTCCTCGGTTGTATTTGTATTTGTCATGATAACTACTTTTTTTTTGTCTTTCCTTTTCTTTATGATCAAGGATGTATATGCGTCTATAAATGACTCACTATTGTTTTATTGCTTATCGATCGCACAGTAGTTGTGAGGGGTGCAATTTGAAATGTTTAAAACACCAAAATCTATATCTTCAGCCAAGATTATAACTCTGTTTTGTGTTTAACAAAAAGAGATTAAAAAAAAAATCTCCACAACCAGCTCTTTGGACTTGGTGGTACAGTATCATGAGTTCCGAGAGGTTGGAGAAAAAAAAGGGGCTAAAACACTGCCTTGTGGGCCCCCAAGATGGATTCAAGGGTTCAAGAAAAACACATCTGCTTATCCTGACGTGATGTGACATAACAACAACTAAACACAACACTGGCTGTTTGCAGGTCGACACACTGGACAACGGCGTTCTCCAGGCCTCCGGAGACTCGGCGGCCGAAGAGGGCGACGAAGGACCGGACGGCGAGGACGCGGCCGGAGACACCGATGACGAGTATCTGCCGCCCGCCGAGTCCAGCTCCCCGGCCCCGTCCGCCCCGGCAACGGTTCCGAGCAAAGCCAACAAACGCCCCAGAAACGACGGCGCCGCAGACGACCCCAACAAAGACTCCGTGCAGTGTCCCACCTGCCACAAATCCTTCAAGAGCAAATACTACCTCAAAGTCCACAACAGGTACGCAGTTTTTAATACGTTTTTTTTCTTTTGCCCAAATGAAATGGGGCAAAGAGCAGAACAGTCATATTGTGTCCTGTCTGTAGGCGGCACACAGGGGAGAGGCCCTTTGGATGTCTTAAGTGTGGGAAGAGGTACTTCAGGAAGGAGAATCTCTTCCTGCACGAGACCAGAGACTGCGCCCGGGTGCAGGTGAGCAGAGGAGGACTTTTTATTATTTCCAAACCAAATAGTCCAATTTCAGCATCTTCCACTCCAAGAAAAGGCCGTCGGTGGCAAAAGGGGATTTGTGGTTTAGACGCACTTTCCTTCTATTTCTTGTAAAATGATATGGAAATAACAACCAAAAATTCATTCTAACTTTGATGCAAATGAAAAGTAAAAAAAGTGATCGCAAAAGTAATTTAAAAAGTGTAGCGCGGTAAAAAAAATAATTGTTTCCAAACTCTCCCGTCATCACACCTGACATTCCTCCCCCCAAAAAACACAACCCCCATCCACATATACCCTGGCTGTTCTTGGAATGGGAGGAGCTTAAAAAATGACCAAATAAATCCTAATAATTCCAAACAATGAATTTCAATATGGTTCTGTACAAACTCAATTAGATTTTAACTGCTTGAAATTAAACAGAACATGTGAATTCCAAAAAGTCAACTTAAATGGCCACGACAGAGGGTTTCGGCCGTGCTCGTTGCCGGGGGAAACCGTGAGAGTTCAGCCTTTTTATTCGTCCTTCCAGACGTACACCTGTCGCACGTGCTCTGAGGCCTTCGGCACCAAAGAGGAGCTGCGGCTTCACATGGTGTCCCACACCGGAGAAATGCCCCACAAGGTACCTTTTTTTAAAGTCAAACAAGCATAAATAACAACAGGATGAATAGAGTCGAATAGAAAAAAATCTACAGATTTTTTCCAATTGTGTATGTTTTGCTGTCTTTATCTACTTTCCTTTCAGTGTTCAACATGCAGCGAGCAGTTCATGTATAAGAAGAACTTGACCATGCACATGATGAAGGTTCACTGTCATCCCAAACCACACGCAGTAAGTACCCTGAAAAAATGCAATTTTAAAGTTTAACTCGTGATCCAAATATTAATCTAGACAAAACATTATGGGATTAATCACCTCTGAAGTGGATCTCATTCTTCAGTTATACCACACGGTCAACACATTGCCTTTGTTTAAAAATAATTCAAGAATATTAGAACAGTTTTTGGGGAATTACGGTATAATTTTAAGCCATTATAGCACCAATAAACCATTTTCATAGGTGTATAAAGAAAAATATGAAAAATATGTTACACATTATTATCATTATTATACACATAATTCTGAAATACAGTATTAAATGTTTATCTGAAAATAATCCCAGAGAATATATATATGAATTTTAAAAAAATGCAAAAAACAGTCAAAGGGTGCAGATGTGTGTCTTTATATACTCATACTGTGCACTCAATTATATTTATATACACTAGTTCTCTCAGACACACGTGCTTTCCTGCATACATATTTGTATTGAAGATTAAGAAAGGGGTGCTAGAGTGGAACTTTAAGGCTTTTTAGTAGGTAATAAAAGCCTATTTTAAACCCAGAAAACTGAACATTGTGGTTTTAAACTAATTGTCTTATTACCACAAAACTTCACATTTCCTATCTGAAAAAGAGAACCATTTTTTGTGGATTTTGGTATTGCACAATAAGTCATGTTTTTTTAAATGATGCACCCTTAATTTACCTTTAGATGTACCTGTTTGTCACAGGGCCACTTCTGAATACAAGCTGACAAAACAAACGAGGGGCTTAGTTTTAAGTTTGAAAAGAGGCTGCATAAAGTCCTTATAAATAAAAAGATGTGTTCATATCACAACTACTACAACAGAAATGGGGAGAAAGAAACCTCCGTGTAAGGAAACAAGCGCGGAGTTGTACTTTAAGACCAAAACCTTTGAGGGACCAAAGAGGGGTCCCTGCAAAAGTGGAGGACATATCCATCATAAATCTAGAACCTAACCCAGACAACAATGGGCCGGAGGCGGGGTACAGCCTGGAGTTATTCACAGGGCCACACAGAGACAAACAACCACCCACACTCACTCTAAGAGCAATTAAGTGTTGAATTGAGTTAACATGCATTATTTTAGGGAGAACCCGCAAACTCCACACAGAAATGTCCCACTCTGCTGCCCCTAAATTTAATATTTTGCCCAAATTTAATCTTGCTTCCAAACATTTAGTTTGCAGTAAAAATTGAGAAAAAAAAACAACATTCCTGACAATTGAGTTTATTAAGCTTTTAACCTCTAAAGTCTGGCTGGTCACCAGTGCCCGCTGTGCCCCAAAACCTTCCTGACCCGCACCGAGATGCGCGTGCACGAGGCCGCCAAACACCGGGGCGAGAAGCCCTTCGTGTGCGAGGAGTGCGGCCACCGGGCGTCCAGCCGCAACGGCCTGCAGATGCACATCAAGGCCATTCACAGGTGCGTCCGGCAAATTCCGCCTATCGGAAAGAAAAAACAAAACAAACGACAACTCTCCTCCTCCCAGGAACGAGCGGCCCTTCGTCTGTAACGTGTGCGGCCACGCCTTCTCCCAGAAGAACAACCTCAACATGCATCTGCGCGTCCACAGCGGGGAGAGACCCTTCCAGTGTCACCTGTGCGGGAAAACCTTCAGGACCCAAGGTAAGTCGGACTTAGGAGATTTCCAGATGTTTTTTTTACTGGTAGTTTTTTTTTTTTTTACCACTGTCTGTGGTCAAATTTACTTTTTTTTCTCACAAGAATATTATGAAAAAGATGGAGCTCCAGTTGTAGTCCACAGTGACACAATCCATGAAGTTTTTCTTCATTTAAGTGAGTAAGATAGATCCATTCAAACAAAAAAAAGCCCTGATTTTACTGTTTCGAGGATATCTGTGTAGCGCCCTCGTACCCGGAAAACTGTCCAAATTAAAGCTCATAGGTCTTGCAATAGTCAGGGCTTAATGAAATGGTTTGTCTTGTTTTCAGGGTAAAATCTAGCTGCCTTTTTTTTTTCTAAAGCATGATCATGTTTCTTTTTTCCGCCAAAAATGAATCATTTTAGGGTGAAGTTATTAAAGTAATTCTGAACTATGAACTAAAAGATAACCCAATAAAACGCTCTGTTGTTTGCAGCGTCTTGTTTACGCTGAAATTAATAGTTTGTGCTAAATCATAATGAATTTTGGTAAATATAGCAGTGTTAAATGTTTTCCCACCGGATTAAATCAAAACCTTAAAGAGTTAAAGAGAAAAGTTAAGGAGTTTTAATTGATCCTGTTCGATGGATAGTTAGGTAAAAAACAAATAAAAAAACAAACAAAAAATTGAATATATGAATAGAAGAATAAAAATATAGCCAACAATTACAATAGTATAACAAATTTGAAAAAATGGCTCAAATATATAATATCTAAATCTATGGTTTGTTTAATGTAGAAACAGTTGGTGTAAATAAATAGATATATTATTATTAAGTAGATATATTTGCCTTGAATTAGAATAATCTTGTTTAGCTAGTAATCTTAATAAGCTTTTTAATTTAGCCAAACCTGACTTCATGTCTCGACTGGGCAAGAAAAAGACACGAGGGGGGAAAAACGACTCAGTTTTTATTTTCTAATCCACCCGGTGTGTGTGTTTGGTCCCCAGCCAGCCTGGATAAGCACCAGCGGACGCACACGGGCGAGCGGCCCTTCGGCTGTGACGTGTGCGAGCAGCGCTTCACGGAGAAGGGCGCCCTGCTCCGCCACAAGGCCAGCAAGCACGAGGAGGGCCGCCCGCACTGCTGCCACATCTGCGGCAAAACCTTCAAAGGTCAGGCCTCCGGGCACCTTACTGCTGTCCTGCACCTTCACCAGTTCACAGATGGACTGTCTGATTCTAATTGATATATATATTTAAATAATTTCCCTCTGGGATTATTAAAGTATTTCTGATCCTGATTTTTGGTTCTAATTAATGTATATATATTAGAACCAAAACTAAATATATATCTATAAATAATTTCCCTCTGGGATTATTAAAGTATTTCAGATATGTTATTAAAGTAAATCTAAACTATGAACTAAAAGATAACCCAATAAAACGTTCTATTGTTTGCAGCGTCTTGTTTACGCTGAAATTAATAGTTTGTGCTTAAACATAATTATTTTAGTTAAATATAGCAGTGTTAAATGTTTTCCCACCGAATTAGATAAGAACTAAATCAAGGCAAAAGTTAAAGAATTTTAATTGATCCTGTTCGACAGATAGTTAGGTAGGTAGAAAAATAGAAAACAAACAAAAATGTAATATATGAATAGAATAATAAATATATAGCTATAACAATTACAATAGTATAACAAATTAGAAAAAATGGCTAAAATATATGATATATCATTTGAATCAAATTGTTTTTTTCCCCTTACCCTCACCAGCAAAAGAGCAGCTGCGCGTCCACCTGCGCCGTCACAGAGGCACCAGGAACTTCGAGTGCATCGACTGTGGCTACAAGTTCACTCGGCAGGTCCGTTTAAAGCCCACAACTCCCTGAAATCTGACCAAACACTCCTTTAGACGGGGGCTCCTCTGACGCACCACAGAACTTTTCGTGCTGCTTTCAAATACAGAAACGGTAGCATTTTGGGGTTTGTGTGAACAAAAGTGGTCAGTAGGTTGGCTGATTAGTGTTAAGCTGTAAAGAGTAGCAGACGGATGATAAATTCTTCACTTCTTTCCCCAGGTCATATAAAGAGGTTAGCTCTAACATATGAAACACCCACCTGTGTTCTGCTTTTATATTAATGCAAAAAGCCAAAGTTTACACCCCAGATTGGATTCAAACCAAACCGTTAGGCCACTGGGGCAGATATTAGTAATCATTTGTTTCCCAGTTCTACATTCAGAACAGCCTTCCCTGAGAGAAAAAAAGAATGACAAACAGAAAAAAACAACTCACATCCTCACAATCTTTTCATTTAAGGGCCATTCCTCTCCAAATAAATAGATTAGAAAAACTATTCTAAGACACTAAAGTTAGCAAACCAGAGTGTTGACAAAGAAGTGCTAAATAACGATGGTTGGTAGATATTGTTACGATTCCAAAAATGTTGTTTGCTTCCTGTACTCATCCATATATTAGACTCCTTCTACCTCTTTTGGATTGTGTGACTCAGGGTGTACTCTTCCGCTCACCCACTGAACACTGGGACAGGCTCCAGTCCCTTTTGGGAATAAGCAGAACAGAAATAAGCGGTACAGAAAATGGATGGATGGATGTAATGTCATTAATCAAACAGAAAAGACATATACAGATATAAACTTTACAACGTTTTGAAAGTGAATTATTTTCAAGGCCGGCAAACAGCCCAACATATGAGGTATCTGAGAGGAAAGAAATCCAGGTTTTTCTGGCTTTTGTTCTAGGAAAATTGACTTTAACTATTAAAATGTTCCTGTTTTCTTTGGATCGATGACTCTGATTGGTTGATCTCCTCCAGGCCCATCTGCGCCGACACATGCAGATCCACAAACGCACCGAGAACTACAACCCGCGCCAGAGGAAGCTGAGGAACATCGTGGTGCAGGACGTGGACGACGGGGGCGGGGCCGAGGACGAGGGCGCCAAGCCGGCTAGTCCCGCCTCGGGGACGGTCAGTCCAGCATCCGGCTGCGTGATGCGAGTGGCCATCCAGCCGGCCGGCGCGGGGACGGAGGAGGGGGCCGAGACTTTCTCCGTCCCCGAGGAGCTGCAGCAGACGGAGCTGGTCGGCGAGGCCTACCAGTCCACCATAGACATGGAGTAAATCGGGGAGAACCAATCTGAGAGGAAGACGTCCACCTCTCTTCGTCCACCCACGATCCCTTTACCAAGATAGTGAAATTGTGAAAATGTGGTTTAAATGAGCTGAAGTGGACGTTGATGATCAAATCGTGCACCTCTGAGCTCGATAGCATGAATGAACCGCATGCTTTTAATGCTGCTGCCTACGAGGAAAATACATTTTTCGGTTTGTTTAAAAAAAAAACGATCATAAATATCAAAGGACACAGACATAAGCAGATTCAGTCTAGGCAAGTAGTTATTCTTCATCAGTGGGTGATGCTGAACAGGATTGCATTGACATTTTTTCCTCCATTTTGTTTCCTCCATTTTGTCCTCTCAGCTCAAAGTCTGATATAAAAAAAACAACTTCTTATTGAACTTCTTTTTAACACATTGGCTTAAAAGAGCTAATTATCTGACTGTCTTTCCCCATTTCTGTGAAAAGTTCTGAATTATTGTCACTGTTATGATAAAAGGCAAACAGGCACATGGAAAACTACTGAGTGGAACATGTCAAAGTTTAGTCAGGAAAGTTATTTGAAACCATTTCAGTATTTTTAAATGGCAGCAAATATTCACACTCCGTCTGGGTCGAACTGACTTTTATAAATTATGAATTTTAAAATCATCACACAGTTCTGTGTTCAACTTTTTTATTTGGCTTGTTTCCAACACATTACCTTTAATTCCACATTTATGTTTTGTGTACATGTGGTGCCATAGAGCTAATTTACACGAGGTTAAGCCTAATTTTAGTTAAAACAGTAGCATTTTTAATATAATTCTTAGCAATTATTGGGATCAGAGGCACATATGTGGATGAATTGTCAGACTTGTAAACGTCAAAGTTTAGACGGGAAAAAAACTTTAGTACCGAACCATTCATGTCATTTTAAAGCTATTTTATGGAAGGAAGTTTTGATATACAAACTTTTTAAATGGGTCAAATTGATCTGAAGATAAAAGGAGGACTGATTGTAAAAAAAGATAAGAAAAAGCAACATGGAGTAGACAAGTTTCCAGTAACAAAACACACTGATTGTAAATGGTTGACTAAAATGCAATCAGCAAGTCTTTACAGAAAAGTTCTGATTCATTTAAACCAGATTTATTTATTGTCACTCTTTGGGTCATGCTCATTTTGAACTGTCTGGCATTTTTTGGAGAGAATAAGAACCCCCCCAGCCAAAAAAAAAAAAAACTTCCACTGCATTTTGTCAGAATAAAAAATTGGCACAATATTACGTTGTGCTGTTTGTGTGGTTTATTGTCTGTGTATTTAATGGTTATATGTCTTGATATTTAAAACTTGAGACATAAAAGAGACCATTCTTTATATGAATGAATATAGGTGGTGGCAAAGCCCGGAACATACACTATATTGCCAAAAGTATTTGCTCACCTGCCTTGACTCACATATGAGCTTAAGTGACATCCCGTTCCTAATCCATAGGGTTCAATATGACGTCGGTCCACCCTTTGCAGCTAGAACAGCTTCAACTCTTCTGGGAAGGCTGTCCACAAGGTTTAGGAGTGTGTTTATGGGAATTTTTGACCATTCTTCCAGAAGCGCATTTGTGAGGTCGCACACTGATGTTGGACGAGAAGGCCTGGCTCTCAGTCTCCGCTCTAATTCATCCCAAAGGTGTTCTATCGGGTTGAGGTCAGGACTCTGTGCAGGCCAGTCAAGTTCATCCACACCAGACTCTGTCATCCATGTCTTTATGGACCTTGCTTTGTGCACTGGTGCACAGTCATGTTGGAAGAGGAAGGGGCCAGCTCCAAACTGTTCCCACAAAGTTGGGAGCATGGAATTGTCCAAAATGTCTTGGTATGCTGAAGCATTCAGAGTTCCTTTCACTGGAACTAAGGGGCCAAGCCCAGCTCCTGAAAAACAACCCCACACCATAATCCCCCCTCCACCAAACTTTACACTTGGCACAATGCAGTCAGACAAGTACCGTTCTCCTGGCAACCGCCAAACCCAGACCCGTCCATCAGATTGCCAGATGGAGAAGCGCGATTCGTCACTCCAGAGAACGCGTCTCCACTGCTCTAGAGTCCAGTGGCGGCGTGCTTTACACCACCGCATCCGACGCTTTGCATTGCACTTGGTGATGTATGGCTTGGATGCAGCTGCTCGACCATGGAAACCCATTCCATGAAGCTCTCTGCGCACTGTTCTTGAGCTAATCTGAAGGCCACATGAAGTTTGGAGGTCTGTAGTGATTGACTCTGCAGAAAGTTGGCGACCTCTTCGCACTATGCGCGTCAGCATCCGCTGACCCCGCTCCGTCAGTTTACGTGGCCTACCACTTCG